CGGGCTGGATTCGAACCCACCACCTTAGGGGTATGTGACTGGTGGCCACATACCTTAGGTGTAAGTGGGCTTAGCCACTTGAGCCACCGGTGCCAAGCCAAAGGGAAAATATTTTTTATTCCACAAACAGGAAGAAGTAATACTTATAAGGAAGAAAACAATAGGTTGTCTAAAATGTAAATGGGCTATACAAACTAAGCTGATAGTTTTTGACTTTGGTACAGAGAAAATTAATACCAACAGCTGAATTCTGTATATAAGAAAAGGAAGCTGTTTACAAATATTTGAATACTTCCTTTCAATTCTTTCAGACAAATAGTAAAGAGTGGAAATGCTGAGTGCTATTGGAATTTTTTTTTTTTTAGTTTTAAGAAATAATCGTTTATTTATTTATTTTTGGAATTTTAAATTTAACTTTTTGAGGAACTTCCAAACTGTTTCTGTTGCTGATTGCAGGGTTAACTGATCGGTGATGCAGAGGAAAGCACTGCAGATGAAGTGAATAGTGTGAAAGGGAGACTGAGGCTCCATCAGGCACTCAGTAACTACCTATCTTTATTGATCCTCTTATATACTCTAAAAAATCTGATAAAAGTTTAAAATAACAAACAGTTAAGAAAGTGAAGTGAAGTCATGGAAACTGCCATAAAAATTCCAATTCAGCACAACTACTGCTGAGCACTGTATACAATTGATACAAATTGAGAACATTTTGCTTGGGGCTAAACCATGAGGGTGCCAGGCTGTCTGTTCTGTTGGACCATTTCCTTAAACTAAAACTAGCAACAATTGCATTAATGAGGAGAAAGGAAGAAAGTACAATGGCCCAGTGCCTTGACAGGTGTTCAGCCCCCAGCTATGACCCCGTGTGGCCCTCCAGCACATTCCTTTCTGTGAACTGTAGCTTTCTGCTTTTCAGCAGACCCAGGCATGTCCTCAGAGTAAGGAGATTCCATCTTAGGGCCATGTTCCTCAGGGAGCACATGAGCCTAACTACCATGTCTGAGCATGGGGGGCTGTACCCCTTCAGTTTCCCACAGTATTGGCAACATTTTAATCCCCCCCACCAAATGTATAGGAGTACCAATTTTTTCTGTCCTCATCAAACATTGGTATTTCTATTTTTGCTTATAGCTATCTACATGAGTGCTAATTGATAAAGTTTTGTGATTTTGAGTTGCATTTCAAAGAACCATTTATATGTCTTCCTTGGAGAAATGTTTATTGCATTTCTTAGCCCATTTTAAAATTGGGTTGTCTTTTCATTGTTGAGTTGTAAGTGTTCTTTGTACATTCTGGATGCTAGACACTTATTAAAGATATGGTTTGCAAATATTTTTTCTCTCATCGGTGGGTTATCCTTTCACATTTTTTTTTTTTCAGAGATATGGTCTTGCTCTGTTGCCCATGTGGAAGTGCAGTGGCACCAATCAAAGCTCACTGTAGCCTCATACTCCTGGGCTCAGGCGAACCCCCTGCTTCAGCTTCCTGAATATTTGGATTATTGTATGTTACCATGTATAATTCTTTCACTTTTTTTTTCTTTTTTTTGAGACAGAGTCTCACTATGTTATCCTCAGTAGAGTACTGTGGGTTACAGCTCACAGCAACCTCAAACTCTTGGGCTTAAGTGATTGTCTTGCTTCAGAATCCCAAGTAGCTAGGACTACAGGCAACCACCACAATGCCCAGCTATTTTTGTTGTTGCAGTTGTCATTGTTGTTTTAGCTGGTTCCAGCTGGGTTTGAACCCACCAGCCTTGGTGTATGTGGCCGGTGCTCTACCCTCTAAGCTATGACAGTACAACAGTTTTTAATTTTGGTGAGGGATATTTATTTTTGTGTGTGCTTTCAGTGTTGTATTTACTAAACCACTGCCATATTCTAGGTCATGAGTTATCCGTATATTTTCTTTCTTTTTTTTTTTTTTTGAGACAGAGCC